TGCCGTCCCATGTCAAGTGCACTTCCATGGAAAAAGTGTTGCCATTGGACTAAATCAGACTGTTCTCTACCTACATAGGAAGTGACCCATTAAAAAAATATGCTTGTGGTAGGGTTATGTAATGCCTGAATTAATCTCTTTAGTCATTTTCCCACAAGTACGTACATTTGAAATGTGTGTAGTTTTTGTACATACATTTGTACATTGTGTACATTTGTACATTTTTGTACATATTTATACATTTACATGAAGTGCAAATATGTTTTCTTTCACATTTAATTAACAAATAAAGTAGACCAACTTGATTTCTTGATGACTACTGATTAAACAATGCTGCATGTACATATCAGCTAATTAAAAAAGGTAATTGGCCACAAATAAACACGAAATACATAAAACAACAACAAAAAAAAAACTTAATAAGGGCTACATTCAGTTTTAAAGTATAATTAATGCCACCAAATAAAACCTTCCCTTGTATTCAAAACTACAATATCATATTTTTCGGACTATAAGGTTAAAATCCTTTTTAATTTTCTCAACAAAATGACAGTGAGCCTTATAATCCAGTGTGTTAATTCTGTTTGTGCTCACTGACCTCAAACCAATTTTATATGGTACAACTGAATCATGTTGAGTTATATTGTGAAATAAGTTGAATAAAGTTTGAGTTATATGACTGTTTTATTTCACTTAATGCGCCTTATAATCTGGTGTGCCTCATAGTCTGAAAAATACTGTATTTAAAGTTGTTAATAAAAATATAATATAAAACGTGTAAATTTGCAATATCCTGATACCTTTCTATGTATTTTGACTCAAATATAAAATTATGCATATTTAACTATAGTTGCAGGGACGTTCTAGTTGAATTTTTAGTGGGATTCATATTTTTTAGAGACACTAAGCCCCTGGAAGCGCTGAAAATTGATTACTTATTTCAAGAATGAGGCAATAGTTACTTTGAATGTTGATTTTCTGTTTGCCAGTATGTTTTTTTATTTTTATTTTGCCAGTTTTACAATTTTTACTTGTTTCATAATTTCAGCTTCATGTAAGATTAAGTCATGTATTGTTCTTGGGTTGGCTTTGTGACATTTTTAATCTTTCAAATTACACCTCATTTCCTTATAACAATGAGAATTGCAAAACAAAATAAATCAATGAATAAAATAATAATAACATTTTTAGGATACCAGACCATATTAGATTTGTAAGTTTCACAGTGGAAAAATATCAATTTGCTAATTTTAGTACAACCTTTCACATAATGTATTTGGGTAAAAATAGTGATACAGGGCACAAAGCCATACACTTCCTTAACACTTTCTCAATACAGCACTTACAAAATATCATAATCTCTTATAATTTAAAATCTTGTGTAAAAAAGTCATAATTTTTTTAAACAATTGTAACTCCCGGAAACAACCTGAATGATAGCACATAAACCCACAAAATATTAACTATTTATTTTACATATAAGTGCCTGATAACATATATAAAAAAAACTAGTGGATAATTACTTATTACAATACTGAAAAGAGAAAAAAAAACAAACACACGCACAAATATGCAACAATTTTATTGTAAAATTCCACAACTTTTTTAAATATTTTACTATGAAAAGGACTTTTTCATAACATTTGTGATGTATTTGTCAAACTTAATGAAAGTGCCCCTTTCATTCAATGATCAAATGTACATAAAGAAAGGAAGAAAAAAAGGAAAACACCGTGTGGATGAGAATCTAAACAAACTTATTTGCTGTTGGTCATTTTTATATAAAGCCCTGTATTTCTGTATTTTTTTTCTGCAGTTTTTACAAGTTCATAACACAAAAAAAAAGTCTGATTTTGTACTATAATGATTCTATGAAGGCAGTTAAAATTAAAGTAGTCATTTTGTTAACATGAAGTGCAATAAATAATAATATCATGACTCATTAAAATGATTACAAGCAAATGAAAGAAGTTGAGCAAATTAAAACTTCTCTCTCTCTCTCACACACCTACACAAGACATGTTTCAGTCTCTGATTTACCATCAGTAATTAAACTCGCATTTAGATTCCACTCATTTAGTGTTCAATTAGAAATTCTATTATTGTTTGAAGCTCCACCTGCTTTTTTCTTCTTCTTCTTCTTTCACTGCTCCCTGCGTTAGGGGTCGCCACAGCAAACTAAGTCGCACAAAGACTTGGCAGTTATTTTTACGCCGGATGCCCTTCCTGACGCAACCACGTTGCAGAACCACTTTGAAGCTCCACCTGTATTGTGATCTTATTAGTATTAACCATCATGGTACCACTTTACAACAAGGCTCAATTACAGATGCTAATAAGTAGTTTATAGATACGTTAGTAATTCCTTTATAAACACTTTATAAATCATTAATAACTGCTTATTATGCATTAAGGGCAAGGAAGAGACAAAACTGACCAGTGAGCCAAATCTGTTCACATTTATCTAGAGTTGTTACATTAAACATTTCAGACTAAGTTACTCCCTTGTAAGCACAATAAGCATTTGTAAACTTATTTCTTTAGCATATATTGCACGTTATCACTGCATTACAAGTATCTACAACTATACTTATATTGATAAAGTATAAAGTGCAATATTATATGCCAAAAAAAATAAAGGTTTACAAATGCTTATTGTGCTCACAAGGTAGTAACTTAATCTGAAGTGTTTAATATAACAACTCTAGATGAAATATATAGGTGAACGGATTTGTCTCACTATTTGGCAATAAACTGGTCAATTTTGTCTCTCTGTCACCTTTATTAATGTATAATAAGCAGTTATTAATATGTATAAAGTGTTTATAGAGGAGTTAATATCATATCTATAAACTATTTATTATCCATATGTATGGGGAGCCTTATTGTAAAGTGGTACCATCATAATACCTGAATAAAAAAAAACAAAAAAAGATCATAAAATAACCAGTACAAGTCCATCTCTGTTGATGCATGTTCTTCCCTGAAGCAGTACTTATTGTACAATATTAAACTTTCATATCCTCTGTTGCATGTCTGTCAGGTTTGGCACATTATTTAATTAATCTGCCACAGTTTCCAGCTACAGGACACTGGTTATGACAAGCCTACTGACAATCTCACATGCCCTAAACATGTGAGAAACATCATGTGTACATTGAAGACAGGTGCAGACTACTTAGTGGTCGCTTTGCAGCAAAAGGGAATCACTTTTAATTACAAAACAAGGATAAAAAATAAAAATGAAAATAAGAGATTATTTCAGAAATGTGTGACTTGAAACTTTACTAATTCTGTATACATTAGGACTGGGGTATGAAAGTGAGAATTGATAAAAAAACACGCCAACATTTTTTTTTTCCTAGTGTCTAAAAATTGTTTTGTGGATTTTTTTTTTTATTCTACTACTCAGAAGCAGCACAACAAATAATGTTGCAAGTCATTCAACAAATATAACAGTTTGACAGGCTTTGTGAGAGTAGTGCACATTAATCACAACATAGAAAACACAAGATAAATAGGTTCCATTGTCACATTGAACAAAGCGTGTATCCTTGATATAAATAACATGATTCTGTGTTTCTTTTTCAGGGGCTCTATGAACATAAACACAATTTATTTAGATAAATTTAAAAAATACCATCAACAAACAAACACATTCATAAATTAAAAAAAACATAAATAACCCATTGCACCTGTCTCATGTTGCATGGCCGGTCCACCATGATACGTCTGCTATATTATAATGTATATTCATCTACTATATCAATGCTAAAATTACAAAATATATACCCTTTTAGAAAATGCCAACTGCTTGACAAGTTTTGTTTTGTTTCCATTTATAATCTATGTACATAAACTATATTTACAGCCATTCCATATGAGTTTACAAATCATACTGCAGCACTATCAGTTGCATACTGGTGTCTATCAGAAAGGACTGGTGAGGGGCTCCATGCTGTTGTGTCAAACATTTACAGGTGTGGTTGCTTCCCTCACACATTCAAGCAAACCTCATTAACAATACAGACGAAACCATAAAAGGTCTTTTTTAAAGCCAATTTTCCTCCCATTCTTTATAATGACTTACATTCCTGCTTCTCAGGGACAACACTATTTAATCTGCATATATTTTTGCACTCACATTGATCTTAACGTATGAATTACTCCTCAATTTATAAATAAAACATTCACTTGTTTTGGCAATGCAAAAAGTTATTTTTTGTATTGTTTTTTATTCTAGAATATCTTACTCTCTTACTTGTTTCTGTCCAGTTGTCTGTGTAACAGCTTGCATAACCAAACAGCAGCAGTGGTGCATCTTTATGTAATTGTGTGCTTTTAAAAGCAAACGCAGGAGGCCATGAAGGGTCAGCACTGTGTATGATGTGAGCTAATGCCTGCAAAGAAAATAATTAATCCCAGTTTTCTTTCTGCAATACTGTACTGAGCCTACCATTGATGTTCAAAAGAACAATACCTGAATGCAAAACAGTGTTGTGGGGGGTAGTTTTAACATTTAATTTTCCTGCACTTCAACAAAAAAAAAGTTTAATTAAATGATAATCGGCATTGCTTATCGGTTTGTGTTTATTTTTTTTAATGTTTCCATAGACAAAACGTAGAAGACCATAAAATGTATTGATTTTTGGCCATAAAGGTGCATGCAATAAATGTAAACCACCATCTAATGATAAAATATATACAGTGTTTGTACAAAAAAAAAAGAAGCAATATCCATGAAAAGCTTCATAGTAGTTTGACCACACATGAAATATGCAATATATATTTATACTAAAGTGTTCTGTATTCTGAAAACACTGGAAATAAATAGCTTTATGGCAAAAAAAAAAAGATTATCATAGTTGTTGTTTTTTTTAATTATTATTAAAGTGCTTTAGATTTTATGTCTTTGTAAGAGGAAAAACAAAACACAAAACTAAAAGTTGAGCCAGAAGAATAAGTTTGAAACTGCACATATTGTTCAGCTTTGTTGCTCTTTTTTGAAGTGTGTGTTTTTAGTTGGTTTATGTTTTTTTTTACCTATTTGCAACATTTTACCTCAACTTAAGTAATCAATCAAATGCTTTTCTTAATTCTTCTCTAACTGTATTATTATTATTGTTTGTTGCTTTTATACGTTATATATGTGCCATGGGTTGCATTTGTGTGTGTGTTCAATGCTTGAATTGGTAAAAATATAATTTACTTAATTTTTTTTGAGAGTGTTCAGATTCCAACATAAATTAAAACCACAATTATCTCTGACACAACTGATGTTTTTTACAACACAACTCTAACTTTTCTCACACCTGTTTAATGCAATGCTACAATGTTTGCAATGTTTGTCAAGTTTTCCAAAAAATAAAATAATTAAAGGGCATAAAACAATAAAAATCCACAGAAGTTTAATTGATTTCGGGTTGTTGTTTTTTTCAGTGGGTCTCTCCCTGTTTAATGTCATTTGCTGGCGCAAAGCATACGCAGAATGGAATGAACAGAAGGGTAAAGCTGGATACAAACCCGCACCTAAAGGTAGAGATAGGAGACCCAGTAGACCAGATTGAAGAGTGCAAAAGCAGTAGGGAAGAAGATGCGTGCGTACGAGTCTATCTTGGCAATGCGAATGTGCAACCTGCCTTGCCGCCAGGCTCCGGAGCGGCAGTCTTCGAAACAGCAGAAGAAACTGGTGCAGTCCTTCCCATCAAGACATTCGTAACCATATTCCTCATCTCGCTCTTGCATGTGCGTGGCGTTGTTCATCTGAATGGCTGTGGCTGAGCGTGGACGGATGTCCACAGTTGGTGTCTGCTTTAAACAAGACAAAATTAAATTAGGCACTTAACCATCATGAAGACTTGTTCAAACAGTGGAACCAACTGGAGCCTCCACTTTTAGTTTGGATACTTTCACTTTGATTACTAATCTATAATTTGGATCTTTAACTTGCCAATAGACCATCTTTATTGTCAAGAAATTAAAGCATACTTTTAACTACCAAATGTGAGTGCAATTAGAATGCCGTATGCCAAAAGTTAAGTTACTTTGCAACCCATGATGCAAATTATACCTTCACCTGAAACATTAACAGCTGGAGAAATTATCATATTTTCATTAGTTTTCTATTCAAATATATATATATATATATATATATATCTGCAGTTGTACATTCAAAATGCTGTGAAAGCACAAGAAAAAATAAAATATATTATTTTTCTTAGAGATTTTTTCTTTATTTTAAACCAAGATATTCTGCAAATAATAGCTTTTACCACATTTATTGTTTCTATAATATACTTTTTTTTGACTATACAAATACAATGTGCCTTATTATGTATATAGAGAGGCATGTGCTTCCATATCCTATAACTTAATATTTCTCAAGCCCACTTTTTTTATTATTCCAAGTAAATTAAAAAAAAATCCCCCTATTTGTTCAAGCTGTACTCACTGCTATAGGGACAGACGTCTATTGTCTGTGAAGTTCCCTAAAATAGATCGGTGACATCAGTGACTTTTTGGTCTTGTCGTTTTAAAAGGAGACAATTAGTATTCAAAAGAGACTATTTCATCAGCTCTTATCTCAAAATGTCATGCCACTTTACTGCAAATTGGAAGTCTAAACACCTGTTTAGAAGACTAAAAGATGCCCATCTGTTGGCAGAAATGGGGTTTCATTTACCTCATGGATAAACCTTGTGCTCAAGTTTATCATTAAAACTGACCCTGTGTAGTGGGTGTCTATCAATATTTAAGGTTTAGAAGCTGACAGTGGATGGACAGTGTCATTAAAGTTGTCATAAATACACTTGTTATTAGGAATATATAGCTTTTTCGTATACATACTGAAAATCAAAGTTTTGGTAATCAATTCTCATTTAATATGAAAACATTAGAAAGCAGTAAACATAATTTGGTGTTTTTGTCTGCCTTGTAAAAAGTTTAATACTCATTTATTTACAAAAAAATATATATACTTGTTGCAAAAAAACAAAAAAAAATGTATAAATGTTCACCATACCATTTTAGTTTGAGGAATGTTCTTATTTATTGTCAGCATGCATCCTCAAATGTGCTTGAACTGCTTGTCAAAATTATAATTCCTACAAATTCTAATTTTGCTCATCACAAAATTCACAAACCTGATATCCCTTTGAAAATGATACATAACCCCCAAAACACAATAAAGAGGATAAAACGAACAACACTTGGGTTAGTTTAGGCATTTGTGTCCTTATCATGGGACCATCATGTTAAGTGAATAAGGGGATTAGCAGTGCAGGTTATGGCTCAATTCTCAAAGGGGATTGGTTGAACTGAAAAAAATAAAATAAAAATCATAGCAAAAGCTCAAGCAGTAGAAACAATAACATTGTCCTGCTGACCTGATCAAGCTGGATTATGCTGAGTTAGTGTTTGCAGATTAAATGAAACAAATACAAACAAAGAACCAGCATAGTAGCAATGTCAGCTTTAACTGCCTGAAAGCAGACAACCCCCTAGAAAAGACAAAGACATCGATAACCTTGGGGTTAACAATGACAAATCTGCAGCTGACTTTAGGCTAAGCAACATTTTTAATTCGTAGTTCAGATATTTTGTAGGGTTCCATGGAAAGGTTGAGAATAATTATAATCCTACCTGTCATAGACATAATACAGATAGTGCATTAAACAACCTCAGTTTAGAAAAGAGTCCTGACCACAATTAAAAGCAGTCCAGACCTGGTTTAATGCAGATTTTTGACTTTAAAAGCAACTCCCACATCAAGTCTTCTTTTTTATTGTTTGTTTTAGCAATCGATGCAATTACTACTTCAGTAACCTTCACATTGCAATAATCTAAGTATAACCGCGCTAATTATTTATAGCCGCAGCTTCGTGCACTCCGCCCATCTTCGGACGACTGTACGTACATATTTGCGTTGTATCTCGGTGCAGTGCCAATAAAGTTTATTCTGATTCTGATATGTCCAACAGAAATACTATAATATTCATGCCAGGGATGGATGCTGCAATGCTATTTGAATCTGGACAGAATTCATCTGTTTCTTTAAACTGAAGTATCGGAAGAGATTATGACAACAGGTAAGAGTAATTATTCATAATGTTCTACAAAACCCATCTTCAAATATCTAAACTTTTACTTTATTGTAGTGAGTTTGGACTTAAGGTGTAAATTTAACTTTGCTGAGGTCCGAAAAATTTGCTGTGTAAACGTTGTGTAGCAAGACTAGACTGGGCACATTCTAAGTAACTTTTCAATAGATTTTGAAGTCTTAATTGTCTGAATCGTCTTCCGAATCAAAGCCAATTTTACACAGTGCATGGGTTGTCTGTTTCAGTCTGTTAAGGCTTTGCTGACTCTTTAGGAAGCGTCAGGTTGAGAAGCCCAACAAACACACAGGTAAAGATTTACTGACAGAAAAAGGGTAAAAAAAATGGGCAAAGCTGTTGTGGTGGCTGCTTGTTCACTGTAGTAACAACAACACAGAGTGAAACAGGACAGAGGGAGCCAGAGTTATTCCACACTGGGCCTGGACTGCAAATTTCTAATGAGATATATGTGAGATGTTATTAAAGTTTATTTTCATTATTATTTTTTCAACTGCATAAGTATGTCTGGCTGGCTGCCTCCGCACTGTGCACTGCAATGCGCCCCTTTTAATGCAATCTCCGATACCCATTATGTAATTAAGGAGGTGCATGGTTAGAATGCAGGTAGATAAAGTAGTAATAGAGGCATTTCTGCTGTTGCGCAGAGAGAAAAGCAGTGAGGTGCTGGAGGCTCAAAGAGCCAGAATGCAGCAGACACATGCAGTCAGACACAGGCAATATACCTTAGAGGAAAAGAGCCGGAGGAGCTTTTGTCCAAAGAGGAGACAAAGAAAATTTGCAATTGAAGAATGTAATAAAACATTTTTTTTTTTAAAGTGTAAACATAATAATTTATTATATAAAAAAATTAGCACGGACACAAACAGAATTTCCGACAGTTTTAACTACTATAACTTCCTAGGTGAAAATTCAAATGGGAAACATACTGCAGGAACAGAAAAGTTATAGACAACAAGGAGGAAGCATTTTGAAATATGCATATCTCACGTTTTCCACAGCTACTTCAAATCGGGGGAAACACAAACAAATAAGCACATCAACAACAACATTGTAAACAATACTAATCAAAATCAAATTGTCATATTTTGCATTTTAGTGTAAGATCACACTTAATAGTGAGTGGCTTTCTTAGCTGTAATTGAAGTACCGTAATTTTTGGGCTATTGAGCTCACCCGAATATAAGCCACGACCACTAAATGAATTTTAAAAAAAATCAATTTTATACATATATAGGCCACACTTGTCTATAAGACACGGGTGTCCACGTTGTAACAGGAGATATTTACACAAATATTTTTAAAACTTTTAATTAAATATGTACAGGTAACATATGCAAATACGTACAGTAAGCGTTTTGTCTGAACAGTGCCTGTAACAAGGCTGGTTAAAAATAAATCCAGTAGCCCATTAGGAAACACCTAGTTTACGTGCAGCACCTCTATTTCCTTCTTCGACAGCCAGATCGATCACCTTTAACTTGAAAGCTGCATCATCTGCATTTTTTGTGTGTTTTCCATGAGGAGGGTGTGCTCATGAAGTGCTAAATAAATGACCTGAAGAATTTAGTGAGAGTGCGTTTCATTTACGGTAATTCGATGTTTCTTTGGTCCACTGTGACCTGTTTGGTAATTTAATTGGTCAGATTTTATTTTCTACCTTTATTTACAACAGTTAGTCTCATTGAGTCATGAAGACCCACCTCTCAAGAGACACATGTAATGGGCAGATATGTGAGCACCCGGGTGTGACAAAGCTAAATGTTTCGGTGGCAGGAAGCTCATTAGCCCATCCCCATTTTTTTTTTTCCATAAATTGGCTGCAGCATTATATAAAACACCGGGTTCAAAGCGTGTGAGAAAAATAGTGGCTTATAGTTCGGTAATTAGTTTCCTTTTAGTATGAGTAGTTCTAAATCATGACAAAATCCTTAGCATAAAGTACAGTTTGCTAATAAATTAATTTAGAAATCACATCATATAAAACATATACCTTTTAAATATACTTAACTTTGGAAATATGACAAAAATAAAAAAAAGTTCAAGACAAAAACAACTGGACTTTATTTTGTAACAGAAGACGTTTCATTTCTCATCCGAGGAGCTTTTTCAGTTCAAAGAACATAGAGTGTGGGGTTCGAGTTATAAAGCTGAGGTAAGCTAGATACATGTGCAGATTGCCCTATCACTCCTCACAATATAGGTTCATTAGGGTTTTGTTAGTCAGACTCTATTCAATTTCAATTCAATTCAGTTTATTTATATAGCGCCAAGTCACAATAGACATCATCTCAGGGCAATGAACAGAAACATTCATATACATAAAAAGTAAGTTCACATAAGTTAACATTATATATCTGAGGATCAGACTGCTTTGAGTCTAATTTCATTGCAACCACTCATCTTGAGCAATCATGAAGGTGACAATGAAAAGGAAAAACTCCCTCATGAGGAAAAAAAACTTTTTGCAGAACCAGGCTTAGGACAAGTGGCCATCTGCTTTGAGGTTTGAGAGGACATGAAGGAGGAACAGATACACAATGGCAGGTTGAGAATCACATGTTAAGATAGAAATAGTATAATATGAAAACTATTCAAATGTAACAATTCAATTTAGGAAATGTGGGCAATGTGTTCTCCAGTAGTCTTAAGTCTATGGCATCATAACAAGCAAACCCTAATAATAGGATTTATCAAAAGAAGCCCAGTCTTAAAACTGGACAATGTGTCAGCCTCATGGACAGAAACTGGAAGTTGGTTCCACAAGAGAGGAGACTGATAACTGAAAGATCTTCCTCCCATTCTGCTTTTGGGAACTCTAGAACCACAAGTAAGCCTGCAGTCTGAGAGTGAAGATCTCTGTTAGGAAAATATGGAACAATAAGATCTCTATGGAACATTGAATCAAAACTCATAGATGAGCCACTCTGGCCACGTGGATGAAATTCCTGATAGTTGTGAAAATGACTGAATATCAGGCCTATAGCTGCATTATAGGTTTTTGAAAGTTGAAATCTGAGACCCCCCCCTCTGTTTAAAGATGGTTTCTCTCATTTTACATAAATGGCTTCCTTCACCCCCACTCTCAAACCGTCTGTGTAAGACCCTAACAAACCCCGTTGTGAGGAGTGATAGGGCAATCTGCATATGCATCTAGTTTACCTCAGCTTTATAACTTGAAACCTACACTCTCTGTTCTTTGAATTGAGAAAGCTCCTTGGGTGAGAAGTTAAACGTCTTCTGTTACAAAACAAAGTCCAGTTGTTTTTTTGTCTTTAACTTTTTTAAATTCACCATGTCCTGGATGACTTGAGAATTGTCACCCACATGCTGCCATAACAAAACCAAACCCTTTTTTTGTTCCTGATCTGTTTCGCTTTTATAATTTTCCCTCTTAACATTTTGGCAAAGCCTAAAATACTAATTTCAAAGTGACATTTCACCTGCCACCTTTCGTTTTGTTCAAGACCATTATATAAAACCGTATATAAATGCCAAAACCATATTGCCGCACTCTAGTTTCAGGTAGTCTATTTTTCCACTCAAATGCAGTACCCTTACTTTTAATATTAACACTGTTCAAGAAATGATGTGACTTCAAAGGTGAATTTAATACATACACAAAAAACATGTTTTCAGCCAGTTTGTGCCTAGTTATACTGGGGAAATGTCTACTAGATTTAATTAACTTCAGCAAGAACTTGCAAAAAAAATTACGTAAAACTATTTTCTAGAACTATATGTTGGCTTTAGATAGATGATGTACTATTCTTGGATTAGAGAGTTGTATGTATGTGAGGGGATGTTTACTGAGTGCTCACATCCCTTAAATGAAGTTACCATGATCTGTTGAGGGATTTAGGGCTCATTTGAGGCCAACTCTTCCATCATGTGACTGTGATCTAAAATACAACTGTAACAGATGTGTGATGGATTATAAAAAGGATTGAGCTGTATGCTTAACTCGCTGAGTGCAGCCATCAGGAACACACTTCCTCATGCATGGATGCCTGTAATACAATACTTTATTTCACAGTTTATTCCCTTCACCACTGTTAAAAATGATACGAGAGGAAAACAAGCCTCCTAAACCGAGGAGCTACTTTTTGGTAAAACTGGAAATCTCAAGTTCAAATCATGAAAGACCAACATTCCTTGCTTAATTGTTGAAAGAAGCTCACCGGGTTTTTCTTCTTCTTGTCTTTTTTTGCACTTGGCTTCCTGTTGCTGACAAAGTAGTGGAGGGTGCCATACTCTATAAGTGCGGCGAAGACAAAAATGAAGCAGACAGAGACAAACAGGTCCATGGCGGTGACGTATGACACTTTTGGAAGAGATTTTCTGGCAATGGTACTTAGTGTGGTCATGGTCAGCACAGTCGTGATGCCTGATAAAAAAAAAAGAAAAGGAAAAAAGAACAAGAGAAAAATGGGGAAAATTAGATTTGTATGAATCTATGTAAACTTTTTTCCACATTCAGAGTTATTGCAGCAGTAAAAGCTGTTTCTACACATTTATTGGTTACATGTTAGAAGAGAATACATTTATATCTGTCCTATATTAAGACTTACTTGTTACAGTTTGTGGTGTAGTGGTGAAACTATGATGCAACACTTACTGTGGTTTGGATTATTTTGGCATGACTATACAAATAAAACATGCATATTTTCAGGCCAATTGAAACTAT